TTCAGGAGCAGCTGGAGGAGGTACAGGTTCAGGAGCAGATGGAGGAGGTTCAGGTTCAGGAGCAGCTGGAGGAGGTTCAGGAGCAGCTGGAGGAGCTGACGCTGGATGAAGGACGTTGAGACGAGATGGAAAAATACTGGACTGTTTTTTATTCCTGCTTCTCTGAGACTCTGGACGGAGACTTAATAACTTGACTGTAACAGAGTTGGACTGATGAGAGGAGCAGGATGACGTCAGATTGAAATACTGTTCTCTGTTCTCCTCAGTTTGATGCTGAGCAAACTGTAATTTGTCTTATTGTTATATTGTGTGAATTATCTGTTCAGAATGGTACAAATCAAACATTCCTCTTCTCCTCATTGTGTCCTTGTCTCTCATGTTTTCATACAGTGGCATGATTGTAAAATATTTTCTGTTTAACACGAGAGTTTCTTTCAGGATCAGTTTGAGTTTTGTGATGTTTCTAAAGATGCTGTAAATAGAATTTGAATAAAACAAAAATGTGATATCTGTGTCGTTCTTGTTGCTACTTTTTGATGTTTTTTCATCTCAGGCACAAAAAACAATTAAACTTATTGAATTACGTATTATCTACATGATTACCTCTTAAATAATTGCGGGTATTTTATCCGAAACTTAACTCAAGGTTCTCACTCATCATCAGAAACTATGAACTTCAAGATGTGCTTGAAAGCTCTGGAAAAATCAAGGAAGGAAACCCTAAGTCAAGATTACTGGGTCAAACTACTATTTACAAAGTTAACAGTATGTGAGGTCACAATCAGAGTGCAGGCAGGATTTAGAAAACTATTAACAGAAATGACCCGAGACTGAGAATCTTCGTGTTTTCTTTAGAATGAGTCTTTTTATCGACATCAGGAGCAGCAGGAGCAGCAGGAGCAGCAGGAGCAGCAGGAGCAGCAGGAGCAGCAGGAGCAGCAGGAGCAGCAGGTCCTCCTCCACAGACTCCGGTTTAGTTTCTCTTTAATAGTGGGGAGGGGAGGGCAGAGCGAGGAGAAATCAGTTGGCTGTGATATCCCACTTTACCACTACATGTCACTCAATCCTACACACCAAACTCCCTCAGGGCTCCACTTCACAATGATGGGACCGGACATATTAACATCCTAACACATGAATCTATTTATGACGTGTGACATTAGGAGACGCTGGCTGCAGGCAGTGGGACCTCGTGGAGTCACTGACCAACTCACACAGACACTGAAGGTTCCAAACAAATAACACTCAATTGTTCTGCAATATTAAAAAAGAAAGAGAGGTTAGAGTTCCAGTTCTAAATACTAACTTCTACATATCCAAAAGGCCCCAGAAGGTGGTGCAGCAATCCAACAAAGTATGAATGAGGAAGTGGTGGTCACGTCGATGTCATGGCTAAAAAAAATTTGTGAGCAAAGCAAAAAGTGTCCTTGAATCAAAGCAGTGATCCAGGAATGTGGGGTCAGGAATATTGTTTCCTCCAGCTGTAGAGGAATTTGTGCCTCAAGATCCCTGCATCTTTTTTTTTTTTTTAAAGAAATTCACAAAAAAGAAAATACCTGGATCTGCTGCCTTAATCAAATCCACACTCACAAATGTTTATGGGTCCATCCGTGGCCCGAACCCCATCCTTCCACCGAGTTTCAATAAAATCACTTCAGTGGTTTTTTGTAAAATCCTGCAAACATACAGACAGACAGAAAAATTGAATTCATACAACTGTTTGTTACTAATCCAGTCACACACATGCACCTACTCACGTACACTATATATAAAAGTGGTGGATATTTAGAGAGCCGAGCCACACAGGGAATAAAACAATAAGACATCATTTGACAGACAAATAATAATAATACAATATTGTTTATTTACCAGACACATTGATCATGTAAAAAGAAGTGAAGTAAATTAAATGAAACACGTAGAATCACAGTGTTGATACTAAAAGTGAACATAAATAAGAGCTTCATCAATGGTATAGTTCTTTATCTGTTTACATGATGTGATGCAACACATCGACCAGAGCGCTCAGGTCTGATCCCGTCACTTCAACACAGGAGTCACGTGTACGCCAGCTCCGCTCGTCAGTCTGCAAACCTTCAGAGCTAAAAATAAAACAAGTTCAACTTTCCCTTTAAAATCTGCTTCTACACAAACCTCCCTTCTATTATCAGTCACATACATTCTTGTTCTCGGTGACAGCAGCACAAAGCCATCGGATACAAACTGTCAAACACCTTCAACAGAAAATCTACCAAAGTGCTCTTTTCGATTTTTGGAGGAAACAATATTCAGTAATTACATTTCTTTACTTCACAGAAACAATACTGCCACACACGTTACAGCATCTTCCAGTGGTCACGTCCCTTTACCTCTGAAGAGAAAAAATAAATAAAGGAATAATCGAGAGCTGAAAGAGTGAGTTGATTATTAACAGAAAATGAATCAACAAATATTCTAATGAGCAATTATTTATCATTTTTTCAACAAAACATTTGACAAAATTTAGTTCCAGCTTCTCAAATGTGGGTATTTGCATATTTTCTCATAACAAAATGTCTTTCGGGGTTTGGACATTCACTATTATTTCACCATTACACGGATTAAACAATCATTTCATCAATTACTAATGAAAGAAATGTTACTTTCAGGCCTATAATCATTTCACAAGTATCTAATATCAGTCATGAGCTTTAAACGGCTCCATGAAAAATCATTGTACAGCTGCCTTCAACCCCTCTTCTTTAAATCTATCTGCCACGCTCGTACTTCTGGAGTTCATTCTTCAGGGGATTAAAGACTTGTGACTGTCGCTCTTATAATAAATCATCCTGGGCAGGTTTCAGAGTCCAACACGACGCTGTTGACACACTAGAATTTCTACACAGGTATATTTCACAAACACCAACTCTGTCTTGCATATAAACACAATCACTATAAGACAAACTCTCGCTATCTGCTAAAATCATTTAAATACTAAGATTTCCCTTTCTCTCAGTTTGCCGTGAGTGGATTTTCCTCCTCGAGCGAAACAGAAACGATTTCTCGATTCTCGCACCAAAGGCTGCGCTCCGTCTGAAAAACACAGATGTGTGAAAGGAAAGGGTGTGTGCACGTCTGCCACAGACAGCTGCCGTGGAAGGAGTTTACTGTCACAGCGCAGATGTGAGAAGACGAGTATGAAAAGGCAGAAGACGGCAGGAAGAGAGAGAGAGAGAGAGAGAAGATCGGCTCTGATGTGATTTGCAGGAGGAGGCGCTCGAGCTCGCAGGCACAATAATTAACACTTGGCCACAGTTCAGCTTCAAATAGGTACAAAAAAAAACCAACCTGATGATGTCGGTCGTCTTCTCTCGACAGCTGAGACGTTTCCAGAACATTTTTCCTGCTAAATCTATAATTCAAGCGTTTTTATTTTTTCTGTAAAATCAGTGATTCTCAACCGTGAAGACTCACAAACAACATTATCTACTGGTCACATGTGGGATTTATCTTCCTCATTAGATTTTATCTTTCTAATACTTTCAGGAAGAAAACAAATTTGTCTTTTATCCTCGGAGAAATAATCTTATTGACTGTTTTGCTGAGAGTTGGACGATTGATACGACTCTGCATTTAAGTGCCCGCTCCTCTCACTGATTCACACGTTACATCTCGTTTAATTTGCGCAAATACTGAAACGTAAAAATGTCAGGAAGTCGAGATAGAGTCCCACTGAAACAACAAACAGTTTGTTGCTGATGTTTTACCATCATCAAATAAAGATGTTTCCCCCAATATATGAAACTATGTTAATCTTCTCATGATCTTAGATTTATCTTTGGACCCCCTGGTTGAGAAGCACTCGACTGATCTGCGTACGTTTCTCATTCTGAATCAGGATGACTTTGTCTCTGTTGGTTGACCTACGTTGCATTTCATGGTGCAACTGTTGCGATAAGGCACTGTTACTACAAGTGTCTACGATCATCAGAGGTCGGACCTTTCACTCAGCGTCTCCTGGATACGAGACTGTCACTGCGCACACAGCAGCCGCATTGTTCAGAGCAACGGCGTCACGCTGCATCCTCAGTTATAGAAAAAGTGGAAGGAGAGGAGGTGGCCTGGATCAGATCCCATTAAAAAAAGATAAGTAATAACAGTACTGATGCAGCAATATCGGACTAAAAGGTAGATTTAGATTTGCCTGGAAGGAGCCTTTAGGACTATCTCAGCTGAGGACTGGCTCGTCCTCCCCCTGCGTGGACGTCTCGTCCACTCACACACTTTCAGGTGTAGCCTGTCCTGCCTCCTCATGGTTTGCATAGGACATGTAATGTGCACACAACAAAAGCCGACGGTATGTTTGGTGTTTACATGTCCAGAAGTATTTTCGTCTTCGCCAGACACTTGCAAGGAGTATAATTGAACTGGCCTTTCACAATAAATGTCATAATGCAACTTTAAATAAAGAAGAAAGGAGTCTGACAGAGGAACCCACAGGTGAACTAGGGGGGGAAGTCATTCGCTTTAAGAGTCTTCTGGTTTTTTTGCAGGTTTCCCAGAGGCGTCTCCCCCTGCGAGTCCTTTGCATGCAGTGTTCAGGAGTCAGAGGAAGCTGCTGACTCAACATTAAATCACCCCCCCCCCACCTCCTGCAGGAGTCAGTCAATCAGCTCTGTGGCTCCTGCTGAGGAGGAGGGGCGAGGAGGGGCCGCAGCAGAGACCCTTCTGGTTGGATGTGGGGCCGGAGCCGGAGAATAACTGAGTCACCCGCACAGTCATCAGACATTGATCATTAATGTTCCTCTTCCTGTCCAGGCAGGTTGCTGTGGGAGGGGGAGTGGCCACAATCAGGGCCCGCCCCCCTCATACAGCTAATGGGTCTTGTCCTTGGACGTCTCTACGTCGGTCTCGGGAGAAGCCAGGGGCGGGGCCTTGGACGCCGGAGGGTGCTCCTCTTTGGGCGAGGGGCTCTTCTGTGCTGAGGCAGCGATGCTCGGCTTGGCGTCGTCAGGTGTGTGCTCGTTGGGGATGAGCGGAGCCGTGGTTTTCTGTAGGCAGAGGACAGCATGCTGAAAAGATGCAGACGCAGAATGAGCCAACGACCACGAACTGAACAGGTTCACAAAGAAAAACATGAATATAACAAGTTTATTATTCGTGACTGAACTGTTTACTTCTCAACAGATTCAAATGTATCTACCAATTAATCTACTAATAATCCCATGAGACCAAAATCAAACCCAATGATCAGACAGAGATTTGAGAAGCAGTGAAATAAAGTAGATATAAATCTGTGAGGCCCCAGAAATTACAGAGGGTTGAAAATACCTGTTAAAGGCCAAAGGAATAGAAACTACGTTATTATGACCCCTGAATAAAACCTGGATTCTTTCAAACCAATCAGTTACTAGAAAATAATTACTTCCACCAAGTACACACACACACACACACACACACACACACACACACACACACACACACACACACAGCCTCTGTAATTGATTTAGGCTTAAAGTTACATTTTATTTCTTCTCTGCATTCACTGATCTGCTTTGTAGCCACTTTAGAGCAAATTGGGTGAACGGGGAGGAACTGTGTCTGTGTGTGTGTGTGTGTGTGTCTGTGTGTGTGTGTGTGTGTGTGTGTGTGTGTGTGAGTCTTCACCATGGTTTGTGGCTCCGGGCTGCTGCTGCTGCTGCTGCTGTTCGGTGCAGCAGACGTCGCAGAAACAGGCGAATCCTCCTGCATCAGTCCTCTTCTGTCCAAGACGCTGGGAAGCGAGACAAGGCAATCAGTCACTAAGTGCATCCTGCTCGTTATTCACCCGAACGAGTCGGAGGACAGAAGCGACTAATCTATCACGGCATCTCAGGCACTGATACAGAACTCACCGATAGCAACGGACGAAAACACGGTGATGAATAAAACAAGGAAGATTCTGATTTAAAACAGGCATTTCAGACTAAATCAATCAGGCTGGAGTGAGACTGTGTTCACTGTTTAGATGAAGGTTTACCTCGGGTAGGCCGGCCCACACAGCACCTCACAGCAGTTTTTAAAGATGTTCTTGTGGCTGTACGGGTTCTGGACTCTGTTCTTTCCAGACCACGACCCTTTAATCTGGAAAAACAGATAAAATGCATGAAACACATCAACCCTTCTCAAGCCATCCACCGACTTCCCAAACACACCCTGACTACTTTCTGCTCTCGCTCAGTTCTCCTTCAAAAAGATTTTCCATGGGCTTATACCTTATTCAAAAGCAGAGCTCCATTTTTAGATGTTATTCCCACAGGCTTGGCTTTGACCCACTAAAAGGATCCAGTCAGGGATTTAATGATTCCTCGTTTAATGGGGAGTCTATGTGCTGATGAGAGTCTGTGATGTTTCCTCTCAGTCATATTCCAGCAGCAAACCAAACATTAGATGGTTCTTTTCTCCTTTGCTTCATTTTAATGGTGGAAAAATTCTTCTGCATTATTCCCTGAAAAATCATCTTTTTATGACGTCCTATCTTTTTGCCCCTTGGTTTGTTTATTTGTTTGTTTTGTGAGTTTTATTCAAAAACTACTGAATGGATTTCTACTAAACTCTGCAGCAGGATGAGACATGAACCAAGAAAGAACCTATTTCATTTTGGGGGTTATTAACATTGTGTTTAATCGACATTTCTCAGAGAATAATTCCCGGATCTTGATGGAAAAAAACTGGCACGTTTAGGGGACTGATAAAATCTGGATCAAGCAGATTTAGTGGTTTCATAGGGATGTGGATTTATTTCAGCCACTGTAACAAAGCAGTTGTGGGACCAATAAAGAATGATCTTATCTCATCTTATATTTTTAATCATCACAAAAACAATGTAGAAGAGAAATTAAATTGATACTGGTGCAAATGTAACAGATATAATGACGCAGACACATTTTTATTTTCACAGCATGTGTTTGTACTCACTGACCTTCCTGCAAGTCAGAGAAAAAAAAAGCTGTATTTCTGGTGCTGCAGATGTAGGTCAGTGCTGCATTCCTACGTGTGTGTGTGTGTGTGTGTGTGTGTGTGTGTGTGTGTGTGTGTGTGTGTGTGTGTGTGTGTGTGTGTTTGGAGACACAGCTGACAGACCATGTGTCGTCCTGTGGGAGACCAGAGAAGCTACTACACTCAAGGTGCCTTCTCCTGTTCGCCCTTATTCCACCGTTTCTATTCACTTCAGTCTCTCCCCCTCCTCCTCACCCACTACCTCCCCCCCCCTCTCGGCTCTGCCACAGCAGCCTCTCTGGCAGTGGGCCCGGCCCCTGCAGGTATCGATGCATCTATTATTAGGGCCAATCACAGATATTGAAACGGCTGGGCTGACAGCCATTGTTTCAACTCCCGGAGCAACGTTACAGTGTAGACGCACACTGCAGATCTGCATTTCTGTTCGGGTGAAATTAAGAAAAAAAAAAAAAATGAGGCCAACCATCCCACAGGAAAGAAGAAGAGGAATAATAAATTAATCATTACAACAAAGCATGAGTGCACTCTCTCGCTTTCAGCCATCTAGAATCTCCCAGCATCTCCACCACAGCTTCTCAGCAGAGCCTCTGCAGTCAGATCTGGGCCAAACAAAGCCTCTGATAAAGTACACACACTGTTAATGCTGCTTCACACACACTCACCTGCATCACCACAACTCGTCTGCCTTACATCAGCCCTGTGTGTGTGTGTGATGACTAAATAATGACTCAACGGCAACACACCCAAGCAATCAGAACTTCATTTGGCATCAGAAAGCAGAGATTCAGAAATTCAGCTGCTCTTCTTTGTTCTTATTTCAGCTCAGTTCCATCACTGATTTTTATTAATAGCAGCAGTTTGTGCATATTTTTAGAGGATTAGTCTGCAGTGTCCTGCTGGTGAGACAAGCCTAGATCGTTCAAATCATTTACCAGCTCATTGGTTATAAGGCGCACACTCTATTCGCCACATTTCCCTTGTAGAGAGATTTTTGGGCTGAACTGGATAAAAAGGGTGAATAATTGGACAAACCCTGCATGTGCTTCATTCTTCTTGATGTAAAATCTGATTAAAAATTTTAAATGTGTTAAGATTTCTTTTGTTTTTGTAATTTCAGTTAAGATCTTGTTTTTTCACACTTTTTTTATTTGCTTTACTTGGTTGTTTTTATTGCTTTCCAACATAATAACCTGGTTTAACAAGCTGTAGCTCTAACAGCCCTCCAGTCCTTCAGTGCAGAGCGAGGCGGTGCCGTTGTCAAGGAAACAGCTCTGCACTCTAAGGAACTGTAGTGTTTACACCGCAGCCATGTATGTTTAACTTTCCTGCCACGTGAACCCAGGCTGACGGATCACAATATTTACAGACATTTAAAACGACACTTTATCTTCACTATGTGCTGAACTTTGTCAAACACGTGGATCGAAAACAGATTTTAAAACAGCCTAAACTCATGTCTAGCACTTTATTGTAATTCTTACATACATGAGGGCTGGAAACGTATCTGCACTCAGGAGGATCTGTTTCATTTTTACGTCTCTGTGACTGATAAATTAACTCTGGGTCTGGTTTGACTATGTACATCAATATATGTACATCTAGTGTTAACCGCTAAGACTGAAATATTTCCCACTCGAGTTGAGAAAATGTGGGCAGGTGATAAATTAAAAAGTTGGATTTCAGTTCTCTCCTATTTATACTTTGCCACTTTATTTGTCTTGAGCAAACAGCAGAGCTATCAGGAGAACATTCAACAAAGTGAAAATTCAACCGAGTAGTGTTTCAGTGTCCAGATGTTGAAAAAGATGTAAATGCTTTGTCTCTATAAATAGCTGTTAACTACCTGGTAACATAAATAAACTGGTGAACTGCACAAGATGATGTTTTTAGCTTCAGGTGCACAATCACCACCATGTTACTGTGGCTCCAAACCTCTGATCACTACGGCTCTAAATGTTAGTATTTCTGCTTCATGTCTGCAGGGTGGGAGGAAGAGGAGACGTGTCGTCCATCTTTACACACAGTCTATTGTGGGCTACATAAAAATTAGTTTGATGCATGTGTCTAAAGCTGACTCAATTTTAAATTCAGAGCAGGTTTAATCACATCTGGATGTTGTGGTGTAAACGTAGCCGAGGTACAGTTCACTTGTGGCGAGAGCTCAACATGGACCAACTTCAGCAAAGAGTATAAAGTATAATAACTAATGCTCACACTGGTTATTTGGTACTATGACAAATGCAGACAATAAAAGTCCAGTTAAACAGCATTAAATCTAAATCTATCTATCTATTAAATCTAAAAGTGCAGCTCTGTGCTTCACATGCTGATGTAAACAAAGTCATACACGTGTAGTCGAGTTTAAACCAACATGCAGTAAGATGCACTTACGTCCTCGTTGGTGGTCTGGTTGAGGGAGATCAGGTAGGTGTGGAAGCCGGTCAGTCCCACCACTGACCACAGGGTGAAGAAACACACCAGCACCTCCAGCACAGTGGACACCAGTTAAGAAGAGTAACAGATGTTTAGTGCCAGACACTGGGTCATTGGCTAAACAGTGGACAGTAGTCGACGGCAAAATGGAAGAGGAGTTATGCAACAAAACTAATGAGGGGAAGTCTGAGACAAGAGGTTTCTCCTCTTTTAACTGCAAAAAAGAAACGATGAGCTGGAATTTACTTGAATTAAATCAATTTATCATTAAGTAAAACTTCCCCTATTTACTGTAATCTGTAAAATGTTCTATTCTTGCTAATTAAGCTAAAAAACCTTCATTAGTCGATTAAAAAATGTTCCTCCTGTTTTTTAATGTCTCAACCTAATATCTTAAATTGACAATCTTGTAAAACAGCGTTTATAGCACTCTGGCTTCAGGCTTGATATAATACTAGAAAACTGAGGCTGGAGATACACACCCAGGGCAAAAAGAAAAACAATCCACTTCCTGAGTGGTTGATATTCTAAGTGGAGCACAACAAAGAAACTGCATAATGCTTCCATCGCAGTGCAGAGGATATTAGTCTGAGTATAAGAAGTAGCTTATGTTAAATAAACATTTTAGCAGTCGTTTATTTTGCTCGGCTGTTTGTCATAATTCTTTATATTGTATATATTCTCTGGAAGCTCTGAATACATGAGTTGAAACATGTTTGCTGACAAAGGCCGTGGAAGTTAATTTTTTATAATATATTGTAATTTTACTCGTAAATAGATTTTCTTTGTAAATGTTATTCATTGATATTCTCAACAGTCTCCTCTTTTCCTCTGTCATTGAGTCTTTACATTTCCTGCATTGCATTACATGCAGTAACGTTAACTTCAGCTTCCATGTTGCCACTGCCGAGCAGCGGCGTTCTCGCGACTTAACCACTTGAACATCAAGCATACTCGACTTTTTTCATCGTAACTACGAGCTTATGAGCTGCGTCTGAAGCAGTCTTCAAAGAGTTTGAAAGGATATGTTCCAGGTGTTTGTTTCAAAGTGTTCAGAAAGCCATTATCCACCGAGCCTGTGAACAGACAGAGAGGAAAGTTTCTGTTTCATTGTATTCTCCTGAAAATGAACAGATCTCACACATTACACAGTCTGAAGGTAACGGAGCTAATTATCCCGATGAGAAACACGTGTCAGTGTCATGTGTCCGCCTGTGTTGGGTAGAACAAGGAAGCAGGAGGATGAGAATGGAAGAAGAATCGTGTCGAGCTGTCAGTTGCTGTTGTGCGTCGTGTCATGTTTTTGGAAAAGCCTGGTCTGAATCAGATCATGGTTTCAGAACATGTGCCTGCATTTGCATAAACACTGGAAGCTGCTGATGAGCGTGTTTCACAGCTCACTCTCCCTGTTTTGCCACATTCTTGCAGCTTCACATGCTTCATTCTCTGCACGTTTCTTCTGATTGGACGATCGATACTTACGCATGACCACGTGGACAATGTCGAAGGTGAAGATGTAAATGGTGAGCAGAGAGAGCGACAGGGTGAACATGTAGAAGTATCGGTAGTTCCTCTTGCCCACACAGTTGCCCACCCATGGACAGTGGTGATCGAAACGGTCTGTGAGAAAGAGAAAAAAGATCTCAGTAGAAATATGTGAAATGTGGACCTTAATAGAAAACAGACTATTTTTGAAATCAAACAAAATGTTAAAAATACACCAGGATCAGTTGCAGTCATTTAATCGCTTTGTGCATCAGCTTCTGAAAACCTGACGTCTAAATATAGTGATCACTTCCTCTTTGCCTCCCCTGTTCCATCAAACAGAGCAGAGCCAGAAGAAAGTAAGGGGCGAGGACAGAGGTAAACAGAGGTGAACGTCTTGTATTTTACTTTTCTCTGCAGCATACACCCTGCTGCACTTCTTGGATGGAGTTTCACAACAACAGTTAATCAGAGGCACAAAGCGGTTTGTAGAAAGGTCAGATAAATAGATCATTTTTGGATTTGCATTCGAATGTGCATGTCGTGTTCCTCTTGTTAGCGGCAGTGAGATGGTGATGGTGATCTGCTGGTGCACCAGTTTGGCACTGACTGAAATATCTTAACCACTATTGGATGGACTGAAATTTGGTGCAGATGTTCATGGTTCCAAGAGGATAAAGACTTGTGAGTTCCAGCATCGGCAGCAGGTGGACATTTGAAGGACAACCGTGTAATTTCCGTAAAAACACATTCAAATCGAACTGATTTGCCGCTTTCGCAGATTGAATCCCTTATCTGAGACACGTGCAGGGCTTCAAACATGTTACTGTTTTGTATGAATAATCTTCATAGTTATTGTTGGACTACAAAGTCGACAAAACAAGATAAATTCACTGTTCAAACACTCACAGGCTACTTTGAATTCCTGGTAAGTCATTATACATCTACCACAAAAGGCTGTGGGTATAAGCAAATGTAATTGTTATATAAAATAAGCTTTTTTGTGCTCTGCATTTGGACTTTCAACACTGTTAAGGTGAGGGGGAAAAGATATGACTGCAGTAAAACGGAATGAGGCGTGCTGTGTGTGTGTGTGTGTGTGTGTAGCAGGTGCACACAGATGAACCAGTGTTCACAATGACGGAGCACTTATTCCATCTCTTAGCCTCCACTGTCTACTCTCATATCGCCTGTGAGTCTATGCTGCGTTCAAACACATTCCTAAGTCATCAGCAGCCAAATGACTGCGCTACTCTGCAGGACTGACAGAGACAACAGCCAAACACACACACAGACACACATCACACAGCAACACACAAACAAACACACTGCCTTCAAAATTCAAAGCCCATTCTAAAAAAGTACATCCTGTGAAGTTTTGTGTGTTTGTCTCAGTTTTCTAAAACTTCTGTGCCATGTTTGCTTCGTCGGACATTTATTTATAAATCTTCTCTTTTTTTCAAATAATTTCATCACTGTGACAAATCAATCCAGGCAGAAAATGAAGGTCAATACTTCAGTAATAATCATGTCAGGGAGCTAATTTAACATTTCTCATCTTTTACTTCGGAAAAACTCACATAAACCAATTCCAATGAAAACAAGAGGTAAGAAGTGATTTCTCACCGACACAGTTGTCACAGATGCTGCAGTGAGACGCTCGAGGTGGCCGGAAGATCTTGCAGGTGTAACAATACTTGAGTTTGACGATCTGGTTGTTGATCTGAACGTTGCGGATCCGCGGTGGAGGCCGCTGACCCGCAGGGACGTTCCCATTGGCAGCCTCTGTGGAAACAAAACAGCACAACAATCATGAAAAGGCATTCATTATTAACACACACACAGACACACACACACACACACACACACA